CGACCCCGTCCCCCCCGAGAGCTCCGCGGCGTGCCCGGCGACCCAGGGCCGGGTGGGGACGGCGTTCGCTGTCGGTTTAAGGCAGGCGAAGGGATGCGGCGTTTTCCTGGGAATTGTTATCGCCGGCAAAGCACTTCTGTCGAGGGGAGGTGGTGGTAAGAGCGGGAGGAGGGTCGGGTGTGTTTGGGAGGGAAGAATAATACTAATAATAACAACAACAAGAGGAGAAGCGTGATTGAATAACTAGAAAATAATAATAATAATAATAAAAACCTGACTCGGTTTCTTGACGCTGCCCGGTTGCTGTGAAACGGATACAGGGCAAAGCCCCTCGGATGAGGAGCAGAATGCGAGGCAAAGTGCGGAGCTGAATGTAGAGCGCAGTTAAAATGAGGCGCTCCCTCAGCCAAAAGAAGGGGGCAGAGGGGACAGATCTGGGGACGTTACAGGAATTGACAAATGTGAAACCTTTTATTTGACAAAAGAACGGGTTGGGGAGTGATGGAGGTGGGGGAAGAAAGGGGGTAGGCGTGCAGGCATTTTTCAGGAGAGAAGTTGGATAATTGCAGAAGGAAAGCGCTGAATTTGGTTGTGTTGTAAATGTTACCAGTTCCTTAGAAACATACTTCGTATGTCAGATAGATTGAGGTATTGATTTATTAGCATGTATATAACACCTACACGCACGCCCAGGGAAAGCAATACACAGTATGTATACTCTACATAAGTATTCTTACGCCAAAGGTTGAGTCAAGAGATAAGCAATAGCAGTAGAGGTCAGTGGCTCTGGAAACAAGTCTTGTCACTGCTGCAATAAAATCCATATTTTATGGAGAGTTAAATGCAGTACTTTGTAAGTGCAAGTGGATGGTCACCTAAGTAACTCCTGATGACATTCAAGGATCAAGAAGTTTAATGACCAAAATTACTCCCAGCACGATGGCACAGCTGCTACTTTTGTACAAATTGAGGAGATGGGGCACCTTTTTCCTTGTACTTGTGTATGGTGTGGGATTTTAAAGTTCTGTTAGCATTGTATGGGAGACTGTGTAGCAAAATTACTTACAGATTCTAAGGGCAGACCTTTCTCCAAATGTACCGTTCTTCTAGCACAGCTGGAATACAGTTGTTCCTATCTGTGCAGGGATCTGTGAGGACGGTACATGCGTCCTGCATGTGTACTCCATGAGCTATGTGTGTGAACATATGTGCAAGGAGAACACTACAATCAAGAGCACAGGTTATTTCCATTCCCTTTTATCACGGGACCATATGTGATAGCACCCTGTAAATAACATAATTCCAAGAGAATAAAATTGCTTGAACGTGCAGACCTCTTTGGTTTTAATCAAAATAGACATAAGTCTCCCAGTCAAGATAAAGGCTTATCTCATGTATTTGCTGGGCTGAAATCTCTATTATGCAGTCAGTTGTGTGCAAAAGTGTTTGCATATTACTTAAAGCATTCCATAAAATTGATTAACATCTGTTCCTGAGCAATATAATGCTCTGGGTAATGGTGCATCCCTATTCATTTCTTTTTTTTTTTCTAATTTCTGTTTAAAGGCAATAAGTTTGCATGTCGCAGGAGAGTCGGATAGGGCTTGGAGGCTTCTGATCAAGATCAAGTAGATTCCTTTATCATGGATATATACAGTTTTAAAGGCCTGGCAACAATGATACAATTGGATAGCTCCTTTAAACAGCCCAAACATGCTAATAAAGACTGCAGGGCTGAATCCCTTTTTGCTCTCCTCTCAGATGTTATCTGACACAGCACCGGTAAATATATAATCTCATATGCTTCTGGCTTTCAGCTGCACCATAATCTTTCTGGACATATTTCTAGTGGCTTACAGTTGACTTTTGAGCTGGAGGAGGGGTGGATTTCTGGCACCATTCATAATCTGTTTGCGACCTTCTACTCTGTGTCTGTAAAGTGTCTTTCAGAGGGGGCTCCTATGCCATGTACCACCTCTGCTTTTCCTAAATCCTCAGAAAATGAGCATCTAATGATGGGAGACCCTCTCCAGCCCCAGGTCCCCACGGGCTCCCCTGCAGATGGCACTGCGGGAGCGTCCGAGCCCCCCGCAGCCTGGAGAAGCCTCCGCTCCCCACGTTCTCCCCTGCACTCAAATCATTTCCTTGGCCTACTTTCTACTTTTTTTTTTTTTTTCTTCCCAGGGAAAATGGCATTGATTCAGTCCTGTTGTAGTTCTCTGCAATTATCCTTTGCAGCCATTTAAGGAACTGGGGTCCCCATAGGGACTTATTAGTCCCTCTAGATATTTTAGTTTTCACACCAGTTCACTGCTCTTGCATATCTCCATGCCAGCACTTCAAAGATTACATTTATAGACATGGTCATCACTTTCTAACCAAGTTGTTCAGCTAGAAATATGCCTCCTAACTTCTTCCCTTCTTCCCTCCTCCCTTGCACAGCTCTTCCATGCAAACAGTAACCTGCCGCTCAAGGCAGCCTTCCCTTTCATAAAGTTTGCATTTTGCCATCTGCTGTTTCAATAATATTTAGTTGAGAGACTTCCTTGAAAGCAAAACACGCACATTAAAAAATGTTGTGGGTTTTTTTCCCCCCCTCCTTTCTACTGAAGATCTCAAAACTAATGCAAACTTGATAGAAGTTATGGATGTCCCTGTGCTCTCACCATCTGGAATCCTGCCACAACACCTCTCTGCAAGAAACCTTCTACTCAAGGGCACACTGGGTACCTCAGGGTGGGATCCTCCCTCCTGTCCACTGTCCCCTCAGGTCTGCTACGTCATTTTTGCTTTGACTGAAGATTTCAGCACACCGATCTGCTGCTTGTTAATAGACTCCTACAGTATTTCGGGGATTGGAAGGAGTTGCTATTGGGTTTTCCAGCGGATGCCTGCGTGCTATGTAGTAGTCAAGCAAATCTAGAGGGCATCAACATTTATCTGTTGTTAAATGAAATGGTGGTCTCTGTCTCTTGCTTAACTGAACTTTTCAGTGTGCCGTCTGCCCTTCGTTGACTACTTTTAAACTACGTTCTCTTTCTGGTGCAATCTTGTAGCATTATGGCTCAAGATGAGCAGGAAATTGCTTATGGATCTCCTTGGAAATGGTGGCTAATTACTAAAATGAAAGGTAGCTGAAATCTATAAAAAAGAGTGGGTAGAATTCGTTGGAAACAGCAGGCCCCACTGTGATGGTGCCTCATCTTGCATAATGGTTGCAATTCCTCTAGTGGCTCTGCTGCAATTATAACAGAATAAAGTAGAATTGGTTTTCAGTATCTTTTGATTATCATAAACGTGCGGGAAATGCTATGGAGGGGCTGTGCCTTAGAAGCTGGGTGTTAGGGAGACTTCTTCATTAACCCTCTAAAGACCTAGCTACCTGCAATAACTGTTCTGATTTCCTCAAACGCTTTGTGTCATTTGGGGTTTGCTTCTTTTTTGCTCTTCTTTTTTTCTAAATAATTACTTTGGTTCACAAGTCTCGGGCTGATAAACTTAGTTGTGATTATCCTGACTGCCATGTGGGGCCAAATTCAGGACCTTTTCAACATAAACCTTTAAAATGAGTCCCTCATCCTGCAGATGAAGTGAAAGGCTCTACGTGCCACCAAAACCAATCTCTTCTGCTGACTCTATGCAGGATTCAACTTGAAGTATAAACACAGTTCTCAAGTTTAAATGTGTTCTGGTTGAGATAAAAATCCAGTAGCAGCTGGTTGGCTCGTGCTGCTTGCTTAGTCATGGCAGCCCTTCCCAAGGAGTCTGGAGAAACTGGGCTCTGCGAGGAGAGAGGTGTTATGATATCTCGCCTTGTTTCATTTGGGATGGGGAGACATGAGATGTAGAGGGGATGTTTAGTGTGATTAAATGTGGCTGTTATCTGTCTTTATTGCTTAACAAAAGGTACAGGGCAGATTATTAGTCCCTGTCTGAGTTTTAAAAACACCCTTGAAGAATGCATAATTAATGCAAAACATCAGCAGTAAAAGTCATCCTCTCTGGGTTGTGTTGTGAGTTATGCTGCAGTGGAACTAGGTGGAGAAAGTGCTGGATAAAAGCATTTTTAAAGTTTAAATTTGAGTCACACATTTGAGTCTTCACATCCATTTGGGTTTTTCTTGCCATAAATCTCAGCCTAAGAGCTTCTCTCTCATCCTTCCCCAATGACTTGCTGATATCTGTTGGGAGTCCATCCAGCCTCGGTTTCCTGAGCTTCTCCAGGACGCTGCTGTGTGTCCTAATGCTGATTGTGCAGCAGAAGCTTCCCCTCCCTATTTCAGGCAGTGTTATCCCTTCTTGTACCTGTGACCACCTCCTGTAGTTAGTGCAGGTGTGGCTGACTGCCAACATTGTCGTCCACTTTATTTATTTTCCCGGTTGTGCACTTGGCACTGAAAGGCCCAAACAAATTCTGTGAATATTTGTATTTATGCTTTTGTTTGTTTGTTAACAGGAGCATTCCCAGAAGCGGCTGGGATAACTGTAGTTCAGGACTGTTTAGAGTGGTGTGAATTAATATTACTTGTTGGTACATCCAGTGTCGTGGAGCTGCCCACTTCTCAAGTATTTTCCTCTTGCAAAACAAAGCAGAAAATGCAGTTTTTCCTGCAGCTGCAGCCCCCTTAGCAGTGGCAAGGAGCAATGCTGATGGGGAAGGGATGTGTCTTTCTGGTGAGGGGAGCCTGCGAATCCTGCCAGAATGGAAAAGGCATGTCTGGCATGGTGTCCTTCATGAGTTACGGTGTTGGACCTCCAAAAGGAAGCTTTAAGAGAAGAAGTGATTGCTTAACTGTGACGGTGCCAGGGCACTTGATAGCACTGTGCTGAAACATCCAAGATTACACTGATACTGCATTATCTTTCTTCACACCCAGCCACAAGACACCCTCTCCATACCCTCCTCTTTGCCAAGTGCATAGACAAAAGAGCATATACATTTCCATCTGGTCGCATTCAGGAATAGTGCCAATCTTGCTATCTTTTAAGTAACCTGTTCAATAATGGCTATATTCTGGCATTGTGGACAAATATTTTATGGATTAATTAGCCTGTTTTGTCAGGATATACATATGTATTTATATATAGTCAGAAAGTGCTTAGTTCTAGCCAGAATGTGACTGTTAGATTTGATTTGCAACATAAGTACCCATTT